CCGTTTTCCTTTTATTTTGTTGATCCTTAGCATGCTGAAATCAAAGTTGTGGTTGGGGCTTGGAATTAAAACGCAGTGACTGCACAGGGCAGGTGACCGAGCTCAGCTTGGTGCGAAGGGGCGATAATTCTGGGTTCGTCCCAGGGTAACTTGGATCCAGAATTCACCCGCTGGCTTTAAGATAATGAACGCCCATCTCCGCCTGATATTGTAACAGGCAGCATGTGGGAGGACTTGCAAGGTTTCCATATAAGAACATGGGAGAATTTATTTCACACGGGTGAAGAAACATGCAGAGTGTGTGTTCTTTAGGAAATGGAAGGCAAGCTCTGCTTTCCTTAGGCAGCTCTGAGAGTGGCAAACTTTGTATTTAGAAATTGTAAAAGCTGGATTTTGCTGTTTAGTAAGAGCTACATTTAAAGGAGTGCACTGATGAAAAAAAAAAAAAATAGTGGGAGAGGATCCAGATAAACACGAAGAAATACAACCCCACACGTATTCCAGCACAGTTTGTGCCAAGGTGTAAAGATGGATTTTTTTGGTTAGTTCCCATTTTTTTAACCGTATTGGGAAAGGCATTAAGAAAATGTGGCGAGGAGCTGGTTACGTTGATAGTGCTATTTTGGTAACTGCAATTTTTTTTTATATTGCTCACATGTCAAAATGTTTTGAGTTTTGGACTAGGAAAAAAGTGAGGCAGCCCTGATGGGGGAATGTGTCATCGGCCGTGCCATTCGGGGCTCGGGTGACGGTTGCTACCGGTTTAGATTTTATGGCTTCGGGTTTGAGGGTAAATCAGCCCATTAACACCTGCTGCTGTGGAATTTGGAGGGGAGAGGCTTTGGTGAAAACGCTGATGGTTTTTGACAGCCGGGTGTTTACCTCTGGGTCTGCATTTGGGCCATCTGACTGCTTTTTTGGCATTGCCTTCCTTTTGCTCCAGTATTACGGAAAGATTCCCCTGAAGGTTGTCGGGTTTTTTCAAGCGAAATGTGTGAGCAGTCAGGGCAGCCAGCAGCGTGACAGCGTCCCTTGCCCGGAGTGAGTCGAGGCTGAAGCACGAGCGTGGCAGGACGATGGCTTTGTTGCCTGACACTGGAAACTTTATTTTTGGCACTTTCGGAGATAGCATCTTCGTGTTTCCTCTTCAACTGTCTCTTCTCTGCTTTGCATATTTTTTTTTTGTTGTGTTTTTTTTTCTCTTCTCTTCTCTTCTCTTTATTTCCTGCGTCTCACCTTCTCCCCTCCTTCCCCTTCCCGCCTCTCCCACGGTCCGTGTTGCTTTGAGGCTGCACCCACTGGAGGGCGACAGACACCTTCCCGCTCCGGGGGTCCCGGTGCTGCCCCGCGGGGGGACCGGCCCCGGCCCCCGCCTGCGGGCCGGCCAGGGGAGGAGAGGCCGCCTCTTGCCGTCAGTGATGAACCCGCGTCTTTTACCGTGCGGTGTTAGGGTTATTTCTGCCATACTTCGCAATAAGCGGGAGGTTGCAGGTGGCACCGTGTTATTCGGAGGTACCGAGAAGGTGGTTGCGTGCTAGGGAGTGCTAGCTCAAAATCCTGGGTTTTTTTTTTTTTGTTTGTTTGTTTAGGGATATTGACCAGGAACCCAGCAGAAATTTGGAATGCTTCAAATGCTTCAAGTGCTTCAACCAGTTTGTATTTTTATTTTAATTTGCTGTAACCAGGAGCAAAATTTGGCATGCTACTCTCTGTTGGTAGTCACTGATTTGTAGCTTTTGGGTAGGTTGCCTGGGGGTTTCTTAAATGCCAGAGGTGAAATGGCTGTGGCAGGAGGCTTCAGGCTGTGTGAAATGCCCTATGAGAAGAGGTACAGCATCGTCATGGAAAGATTCGAAGGCACTTCAGATTGGCTTACTCTTGCTGCACGGTGCTTGGGAAACCTCCTGTGCCTGAGCACAATCCTGCTTGTAAAGCCTCCGGGAGGATCCTGCCTTACAGCTAAATGTTGCAAATATTCCAATGAGCTTTCCTTAAATCGATACTCTGCCTAGGTGAGACTGAGCTACATCTTTGTGGCTTCTAGCCACGTCCTGGGGGCTGGCTATTCCCAGAGAGGCTCTCAGGCACAAGCCCTTCAGCGGGCTGCCCTGTTTCCCAGGCAGTGATGTTCCCAGGGTTTTCATCAGTGCACCTCAAGACTCGGCAGCAGCCCCCTCTTATTTTAATTTTGCCCCTTCTAGGTTTTTCCAATGCCCTATAGTTTTGCCCCAACAGGCAATAGGGCAATGTTGACCCAATGCCCCTATGGCAATGTTGCCAGTTCCACCAGTAAGGGGAGTCTCTACAGTGGTGCCCTACCCAGGCTTTTAATCATGCTGGCAAATGTCTCTGTGAAGATTGTGCTGATTTGTTTCTTTTAAATGTAACCATATTACAACACATAAAAATGGATGGGAAAGCCATGGTAGTTAAAGCCTTTTGCAAGTAATGCTTATTTGATTGGTCATACTAATAAATTGTAGATCATTTAAGAAGTGCAGCTTTGAATAGATTACCCAGTAGGGTTAGTGCCTTCAACTTCTCATCGCTAACTTAATTTACATGACCAGAATGGGTCAGGGTTTTGTTTTTTAAAGTAATCCTGAGTCCAGCCCTCTCAGTGCTCAGTACACAGGACTCAAGTTTATTCCAGTGCCACTCTGGCTGCCTGCGGGATTGGGTCCTTGGCATTTGAAAGAAAAGTGTGAGGATGAAAACACGGTGACGTAATACTTGTTGAACTTCTTCCACACATGCATATTTACTTGAATCCTCAGCTGTTGTAGTGCCATGGACTTAATTGATTTGCGCTAGCTGAGTATCATCCCAAGGCATGTAAACGCTAGGCAAAACCCTTTAAATTGCTTACACAGTAGCGAATATTGATGTAAGGTAAAGTGGTGGAAATGAAGTGAAACTGCCACTATTCATTGTCCTTTTTTTCCCCTAAAATTGCCATCGGAAGGGCTACCATGCTGCCAGTCTGTGACTCAAGCTGTGGCTGGTGTCCTACAGCATCTTCTGGATTTATATCACTTTTTTTTTTTTCCCCCCCAATGTGTCTAGATTTACACCAGCAAAAAGCTGCGCAGTGCTGACCCTAAACTCTGCTCCAAGGGCATCCACCAAACCCTCCAGCTGGGTTGGTGGAAGGGGAGCGTGAAAATCAAATCCACGTCCTGCTGGCGAGCTTGAGATGGGAGGCAGGAGGGCGGGTGGCGTGGGGCCTCAGGAGGTTTTTTTTTTTTCCCCCCCAATGTGTCTAGATTTACACCAGCAAAAAGCTGCGCAGTGCTGACCCTAAACTCTGCTCCAAGGGCATCCACCAAACCCTCCAGCTGGGTTGGTGGAAGGGGAGCGTGAAAATCAAATCCACGTCCTGCTGGCGAGCTTGAGATGGGAGGCAGGAGGGCGGGTGGCGTGGGGCCTCAGGAGGGTGCCTGTTCAGACCTGTGGGCTGTTGGGAAGGTTCATGTGTTTCAGCAGTTACTGGGTTTCCTGTTGTGGTTCTCTGTCGCCCAGAGTGGTCACAGCCTTGAAGAACGGCTTCGCTGCCATGGCTGCCCGACCGGGGTTTGAGTGCAGTCGGTGCTTGAGCGCTGACATGGAAAAACAATTGTACTGTGCCAAACCACAGCAGGCGTGCCCTGCTTTAGGGTGCCGTGCAGGTAGGCTGCCCGTAGGTAGGAGAGCAGCCCATCCGTCAAGCCACAGGGTTATCAGTGAGCTGGAATGTAGTTAAAACTTCTTCCTTTTTTGCTTCAGATCACATGGCATTTGCATTTTATTTCACTGCTGCAGGGTAATTTCCTTGCTCTCGCGAGGGATATAGTAAAATTTTCTGTGATGTTTTACATGGGCTGTAACAGGTAAGAAGTGATCCGTATTGGCATTGGTGCTACGCTCAGGTCATGTTCTTCAAAATACAAGTTCATACTGATGAAATTCAGAAAACGCTATGCATGCTAACATTGAAACATGTCTGACTTACCTTGCTGGCATCATTTTTTTCCTTTAAAATATTTTTTTGCCTTTTCTTTTTCTCTTTTGTTTTTTTCCAAACAGGAAGAGAAAATCCACTCAGGAGAGACTCTTCTTCATGTAAGTGTTATTTATGCTTGTTTATGAAATTACAAAAGGGTTAAAAAGCTCAATAAAAAGTTCAAATACTGAACACTTGCCATCTGTTCATAGGAACCAAGTGTAGAGCATGTAAAAATAGGCTGTAGTTATACAGTAGTAATGGTCAGCAACTGTTATCTTACATCTACCTGTGCAGTTTTTCTGTGCATATCACTGCAGAATTTAGAAAACACTGCAAGGCACTTTGTAGACATTTAAGCAGCATGCCCATAAAGCTGGTGTGTAAATCCTGGGGGGATAATATTAAAGTGGTTTGCCCGAAGCAGAGGAGACCCGTAACTGAGAGCTCGTTTTAGCACCCCAGAGTCCCTGAATCCCAAACCCTGTGAGCAAGAGTCAGCTTCCCTGCCTTGGATCCTACAAAATCCAAGTTCTGCCTTTAGAGCCATTTGTTTGCGTGCATGTGTACTAGCGTGTGCATGTATATGTGTGGGTAAGAGAGAGTGTGTAAACGCATATTTGGCCTCAAATAGCACGTAGGTATTTCAGGCCTTTTCTACAACCTATGGTGATACCCGTTAAAATAAGTGAAAATGCCACCAGCCGTTGGTGAATACTGTTGCAAATGTTTTGTGAAAGCATTTGGCTCCAGACCGACTGCTTGGTCTGGGTGAGCCCGGTACAGTATTCTTCATGGGATCAAGAAAGCTGCATGTTGTAAAAATACAACAGGGTTGGTTGTTTTTTTTTTTTCACACCATCTAGTGACCTGGTTTGCTTGCAGATCTCAGATTTGAAAAGTCTTGAGTAGCATAGGAAGCTCTGCTCTGGTATTTCTTCCTAGTAAATAAATCTGATTAAACGTTTTAAGGGGCTGCATAGATGAAGACTCTCATTGCCTTAACGTAAAATTAGCTTAGCAAGAAAAATGACTGCATTGTTCCCAATGCAGGGCCTGCTTTGCCTAACTTCCGAGCATGTACTGCGTCCAGTGGCATGGCAAGCCCACGAGCGCTCACTTCAGGCTGATTTCCCCATAAGTCAGCTATTTTTTTTTTTTTGAAAAATAACCTATATCTCAGAATTGCAGCACTCCATTATGCTTGCGTAGCAACTGCTGGTTAATATGTAGCAAAACGCCGTGTGGTAACAAACGTTTTTTTTGCTATTGTCGAGCTGGAATGTTAGTTCAGCTTCTAGATAAAAGCGGCTTGCGCAAGGCGCCCCCGGTAGACCATGATTTCTGTGGCTTGTACGGTAGTTCTGTAGGCAACCGTGTTCTGCTCTTCCTCTCCCCTGTGCTTCCCTTCATCTTCCACGTGAGCGAGGAGTGGGCTTAGGTTAAGGCAGGGAACTGGCAGCCCTTTGCATCCCGCAAAGGACCAGTCTGGGGTTTATATTAAGCTCATTGCTAGTCCAGCACCTGTTGAAAACTCTCTTTATTCTGGTTGTGTTTCTAGCAGAAATGTTGTGAGATGCTTTATTTAACAGCTTTAAACCACAAGTGATCTTTGGCTGGTTTTATGGGCATTGTAGGACAATCTTTCAAAAAAAAAAAAAGCCAGTAGTTAAAGACACCCCCCAAAGGATCAAAGAATCTTCCTTCCCCGCAGCTGGAATCCTAGCTGAGACTAGCTTAAGAGTTTGTATCTTTGAGAAGGTAAATCATCATTTTTAAAAGGTAACGGAGAAGGAAAAATTGCAGAAGGCTTTTGATTCCAACCGTTTTCGACATGTGTAGCTCATTATTATTTCATTCTAGTGTAGGAAATTCAAACCTCTTGAAAAGCCTGTGAAACACGTGCTTCCCAGAGATTTTAAATGGGAAATAATGCAACAAAACCACCTTTAAGGGAAGAAGCTCCCCAATATAGAGAAGAACTCAAACAGACGAACCCTACAGCAGTGTCTGTCTGGTGTCTGGAAACTGCAGAATAAGCCAGAGGCGCAGATCTGAAGAGTTCTGTCTGGAGATTTCAGGAGCTTCCCAAGTCCAATACATAGACTCCAAAATGAATGAGTAATGAAAAGTTTGTGGTCCAGAGGCCATTTGCGGTGCAGCCTTCCATCACCTGCTGTGGCTTTTCAACAGCTAACGGCAAGCTTTGAGCATCAGAGCCTCTCTCTTCTGGTTCTGTGCATGAAACATTACGACTTTGACTCGATAACTCTATTTGTGCCTGTCTGTGCATTGGCTCCCTTTGGCTTCTTCAACTGTGAGTTTCCAAAAGAGAGTTAAACTCCAGGGATGGGACTAGCGAGGCTATAGCGAAATGGCAGGATTGTGAAGCATCCAGGATAGGGACCTCTCCCAGGCCCCGTTGAGAGGGGGATTGACTCCTGTGACAGTGAATGCTCGGTGGGGATTAACCCCTCAGGACTGTGACTTGGACCGGTCACCGTGACAGGAGGTGACCACTTTGAGAAAGGACTCTTTGTGACAGTAACCAGCCATATGTAGTTGTAATGATAAGAAAGGGACCATCTTATTGTAGTCACTTTGCGACAAATACTACCACAATTCATTACTTTCCATCAGTGCCTCATCCTATGGAGGAATCACCACTGCCCATCTACATTGAGGAGGGGACAGAAGTCCCGATTGGTGAGTGCAGTTGGGATGGGATATGTTTAAGGGGGGGTATAACGGTACTTGGGGTTTATATTCCTCACGTTTGTGTATACCCATTTGTCATTGAAAATTGTAAGGCTTGTTGCAAATGTTTTGGGATTTTTATTTTATTTTCTTAATGCAAGTGTATTTTAGAGCTCCTGAGGATTGTTAAACACTGCTAGTGTTGGTTTCCAGCTAACCATATATCAAAGTACATCATTTATGCAGCGACATTAAAGCTTCCGTGCAGGATCTCTTAACACAAGGCTGGGGAAGACCACAAGAGGTAGTTCCCACTTCAGCCTTTGACCTTAGTGTAGAGATAATCAGAATAATCTGCCAGTTGGGTCAGCAGTTTTTGTCATTACCTGCGTTGCCCATCGGAGTGCTGCACACCCCCATTCCCGAGCTCTGGTGTGGATGTATTGTCACTAGGTGCATATATAGGTTTGGGTGTTGGTTATTTTTAAATAGAGGAGCAGTCTTTCAGGTAACCCATAAAGAAAGAGACTAAAAGATCAGTAAGTTGGACTGTGGTGATCTCTTTGGACTGTAGAAAGCTGTGACCGCAGCATTTCTCAGAGCCCCTTCCTTATCCAGCCTGTTCTCGGTTGCACACAGTAAGTGTGCCTTGGCTACCACCTTGGGAGTCTGCCCTGTTGAGCAGATGTCTCTTCAAATAACTTTTTCTTATTATATATCCTGAATTTTTCTGTTCTTAAATTCGAGCAATTGCTTCTTGTCCTACTATCTTTTGAGCTAGATTAATTGCCTTCTTCTACACGCAGTACCTTGAAGGTATTTATAGCTGGATCTCAGCCCAGGAGTCTTCTCATTTATAGACCATATTCATTTAGCTCTTTTACTCACTCCTTAGATCATTTTTCTTGTCCTTATTTGTATTTCCTTTAATTTTTCTATCTCCTTTCTGATCTGTGGAGACTTGAGCAGCTCATCCTGTATCCACTGTGGTAGTTTTGACACAGCGTTATGCTTTAGATTTCCATATCATCCCTTCAGATGTACACATCCAGAAAGAG